GATGTGTAGTGCGGTTGGATCCAGGTAATAATAATTGTTATTCCCAACTAGTGGGTGGCATACGCTCAGGAAATATCACACGGTTACTGTCAGAATAAAACACGACTGGGGATTGCGGATACTGGGGGGTGGACGGTGCTATATCCGATGTTGAGGAATATGTCGAGCTCAGACCTGATCAGGTCATCAAGATTTGAAGGTGGTGGGCAAAATAGAACGAGAGAGGACGAAAGCGCGCATCCTGCCTGGCACATGATAGTAAAACTTCAAATTGCAAAAAAATGGGGAACCATAAAAACAAGTCTGGTGCGGTAGCAGAATTGCCAAGTTCTGGCCCGTCTATTTGAACCGGTCCAAATAATGCTGATGAGGCTTTTTCGTCCTTGGACTTTTGGGCTGGCGGGCAGGGTCAGAAAATGTGTAAGCGTAGAAAATGAACTAGAGGAATCAGCAATACCAATAAATGGTAGCAGGAATCTCACAGTCACGGTATACTGGAACAGTAGGGACTCTCTACAGTCGCTGATGTAGTAAGGTCGGGTATAAAAATTCCCTGGGGTAGGTTTGATACTAGCGGACAAGAGGGAACACTAACTGCGCAGAAAATGAATGACCACAAGGATCATAGAAGGAAGTCAACGAGATATTTACATCCAAACAGAAGGCTTAGCAGTTTAGAATAAACGCGCCCCGGAGATGACTCGGGTTATTTGAAGGGCTTGTTCAAAGTCGCAGGTAAGGGTACGATTATGCAACGGGTCAATGCGAGTACGGCTTCAAACTGGGTGTGGCGGTGCCACATCATCATCGCTTTCCGGACAACCTCGCGACGAACGTCATGTCCGAGGTGATCGGGCTGGGATGTGCGAGTCTGCGGGCGGCAGGATTGCGTTAGGCGCAAGGATTCTGCCGATGTGAAACAAGGCAGACGTAAGATTGAATGTTTTTTTCTGGACCTGATGGGGATCCCTCCGGGTACAGAGCACAAATAGGCTGGAGTGATTAACAGCCAAGCAGGACGTCCGAGGCAGGTGTAGCCGAAGGTCGAAGCTTGGGATCCGAGAGATCAGTCGTGAATGTTTCATCAGACTGGGTATAACAGTGATGTGCTACCAATGCAGGGACTTTTATCGGTTTCTGGATGGCCACGTAAAGGAGTTCGTGGTTAATGTGATCGAGCAGAATGTATGCACTTCTATAGGAATAGGATTAAAGGAACTTTCTGGTTGGTTAGAGGTCCCTTTTGATGTGCCTCTGCTACAAATCGGGTTGCGAGCCACATTTCGGACGTTTTATACAGGAACTGCCAAGGAGTGGAAGCTTTGGAAGAGGATGAAACAGGGCGAGATCAGTATGCAAGGTTAGTTCGAGGAGGAATCAGATAACACGTAGTTCATAGGTAGAAAACCAGCAACTTTAAGTTTATTACGGTTAGCGCGGCGAAAACCAAGGGCTAAATTAGACAGAGCAGGGATAGTTTGATGCTTAGTGGCCCTACAATAAAGGGCCGGCTAAGCCTGCCAGCACAGTGCCGTTACTGAAAAGGAGATGTACAACAAATCAGTATGGCTATGTGATACGGGACAGCGAACATGTTGGAACTGACGGGAATAGATTTCTTGAGACAATGGATTAGTTTATTTAGAAGTTGCCGCGGTAGTTGGACAGTTGCATTAATAACGGTGGCATGTATACGTATGGCAACGCTCACCAATCTTTGAATTACCACCATCACCTTCAATCAAATAGCTGTGTACGGATAAAGGGCCTATAGGCGATATCCTTTATTGCATTTAGAGGAGAATTATAAATTTTTTCAAATATTTTTTTAAATATATCTATTTGGCCACTACCCGGGGGGAAGTGGACAGGAGCGCGTGCAGTATCTCTGTTGGCAGTAGAATTTGGTGCGGCGCAACCCCAACGAAGGTGGTCACATCTTTGTACTTAATGTGAGGGGATGAGTGAAAAGAGAATGAGCATTGGTCCACCTGCAGGTGACCACATGATCGTTGCTGTCAGGGAGCTTTGGTCCGCCGTGGGCAGTTCGATATAGTCAACCGCTTACAAGGCAATGTCCATGGACTGGGGACCACGTGTTGGATGCCCCACAACCTGGGTGCAATCGGTAGAAATTGATGTCTTGTTTAGGACTAGATGTAAGATAGGAAGTGTGCGCAAAATATCATGATATTTTGTTAGGATAATAAAATTCAACAATTACTCGTGAGTACTCCGTGAAAAGATTAAAAAACGAAAAAAAATTGCACAAATTTGTATGAGGGAAAGACGAAATCGATTTTGAACGTACAGCATGCTAAGTCTCTGAACTAGCCGGACCTCATGCCTATTGTTCCCTACAAGTTGGGAAAGAAACCCGTTGCTATTATTTCACCGAATACTTCTCACTGTTTATGATATTGTCCTCTTTTCGCACAATCCCAAATACCTGCAAATGCCCCGGTCATGCTTCATACTAACTGTAAACGTATGATCATGCCAGACGGCATGCCACCCACAAGTTGAGAACAAACATTATTGTTATTATTATCATTATACGGTGGACTGGAAACTGTTCAAGTTGATTTTATAAAAGGATCATGCGCAGTTACGCACAGATGCATCTGGGATTGCACTATCTGTAATAAATTTCATTGGCAAGACGGAAAACCCAATGGAGACACTGAGCTTTGGCCACACTCAGTCTGGGTGCAGTCCGCTAGCTTTCCTGGTTTGGCTGAACCTCCTGGGATGTGGTGGTTTCTAAAGAAAATGATCTGTGCGCTTTGTTGGCATTCACCCGGTTGGTGCGACTGCAAATCTTCTCTACACAGAAGATCAGCTCAATATCACGGTAATAGCTGTGATGTGGTGATTATTTCTTAGAGTGTCCCCAGCAGCTTCATTTTGCTGGTTTAGCATTCCGGCCGCCAGCGCACCTCTTCTACAGGCGATGACATTGGCTTGGATACCAGAGACTCTAGTGGGCTGTATGCAACTATCTACAATTGGCGGATGGTCAACCGACGCTGTCAACGCATAGCTGAAATCTAACTCGCTATTGGAATGATTGGCCTCTGAATACTAAAAATGTATGCAGGACAGTCACGGAGTTTGACGAAATACGCTCGTGTCGGTGAAATCCGAGCTGGTAATCACTTCAGAACATTGCAGGGGCCGCATAAAAAAACTAATTTTCATCGACAACATGATTTTTACTTTGTAGTGGTTAACGTGAGGATGCTTCATTTTTTGTGTGCGTCCATCGGTGTGCTCGAAAAACTGGTTGATGGCATATGTCACCAGTGGTAAGCAGCATGAAAACCACAAAAGCCCACCTCCTGAATTTCTCGCTGGTCACAGCGACAAGCTCTGTGCAAATCATATCCGCGCTCGGGCCACCCACTCTACCGAAAGGCATTCTTTGCGGCATGCTCCAGGCTACCGGCAGGTAACACGGCCCCCACGAATGACTGTTTGCATTCTCAAGACGGTTACCTTTCTAACGTGACCCATCTCGCACTCAGGGTGAACGACTCACTTGCGTGTGATGTTCATCCAGTATACATCAATGTAAAAGGTTGAATGGCGATCGTTTTTCCGAAAATACCCAAAGCGTGCCGAAATCCAAATAGTTATTTCCCGAAGAATAGTCACTTTCTGGTTGCATTGCCAAAGCTAACCATGCGGTGGCATGCCTGTGGGAATCCGAGATAATCTGCAAAACTGGTAACACGTTTCTGGAATGTACGTGTTTCCTGAAGGCCTGCTATGCGTGAAGCTAGTGCTGCATAATGCCTTGGTTAAACAGTGTTTTTCTCGCCTGCATTTGTGATGACATTTCATCCATCACGAACGTTTTATTTAGGTGTTTCTCAGCCATCATTTCATTGAAGAAACCAAACAGTTTTCCCAAAGCCGAAAAATGACTTTGCATTAGGCATGGCTAGCCCACCGGCGTCCATGCCATACGTCACTTTGGTGTGCAGCATGTGTATGTATAGCTGCCAGGTTCTCAAAGAAAATTTACCATAGGTGGTTCGTGCCACACGTGTAATCAAAAATTACGAAGTCTGGGAAACGTTGAAAATTGCTATTTGCTGCTTACTGTTTAGGTTTTCGTGGCCAACAATCAAACGACATGACCTACTATGAGTACACGGCTATATTTTTGCGGCCTTGCTGGAGCTGACAGCATTTTGTCTGCCTAAGCGAGAAAAAGGTAAATATCGGCCTATTTGACGATGAAGGTTGGCACTTGGTGCGGTTGTTTTAGGTAGCTTGCTGGGCTGCGACGTATTACCGCATCTTAGACGGCTGGTACTTACACTTTTGCAAAGTACTGTATTCTACGGGGTCATCGCACGCTGGTCGTCGGTTGATGGGAAGCCTGCCAATGCACAGAAATATCAACTCGTCGCCCTCGATGGTGGTAGGATTTCAACAACTTTAAACGAAACCATGACTAGTTAGGCAGAGTTGGTTGTTCCGAAAGGACACTATGAAATGGTATAACCTTATGTAAGAGCGGTATTCGTTTGAACCGTTGTTTCTGAGACGTTTCGGACGTGTATTTAAGTAGCGGTGTCTTCAGTTCGACCGGAATTATCGGCTTTGAAAAGAGAGAATGCCATTGCGGTCGTCCGGGCGGACAAGTAGTCCCAGGATGGGTACTTGAGAAATTTCTGGGGAGATTTTCTAAGGAGATGAGTAAATTTACATAACTTCCACCGGGTACTTTCCGCCGGGAAGGGAAACCGTAAGGCAGCGTTTAATATCCTTTCACTTCCTTTTCGCGCACGCGCTTGTTGTGCCCGTTAGATACCTTGACTGCTCCAGCGACACCAGAAGGCAAGACAAGCTGTGCAGGGCCTTTGGTCAGTACGAATTCAACTCGGTCTTAGCACCAGATTTACATGTGCATCTGCTCCACTTCGTGGTCATTAACCTGAATATCACCGTAGCTATCGCAACGGTGACCTTGAGACCCTGTCCACCCACACACCCCCACCACTATCGGCTGAGCTGCTGGACCTGATGCCCAGCTGGGATGTTGGCGGTAGGAACGAACGTTGATATTCAGCGGACTGATGGTATGGATGTCTCGCTACATGTTGATAATCCGTAAAGCGCTAATTTAGCTTCTTCCTCAATAAGACTGATTTAATTTTTCTGCGACCGACTAAATCTACCGTAATTTACTACCGACGTCATAGCTATGGGCCCCCGGTATATCACGGGTTGCTAGGATGTTGTGGGTGCTCAAAGTGCGCACCATTAATTGGTGCTATCCGTTAGTGCAAGTTTACATCAGTAATCTCACCGATCGTTATGAGATTTGTGCATGATATCAGTTGTGGGTGCCGTATCTGCTTATGCTGCATGGGTTGAGTTTGGACCACTTCCGGAAGATCTGTATAATCGAACTGGACCTTCAGATCATTCCGCGAGCCCAGAGAGGCTGTCCATAGAAGTATATTTGCTCCTCATCCTCTAAGAGTTGAAATATTGACTCCATGTACATCCGAGCTCACGCAGTTCCGGTAGCATTTTAACTCATTTATTGATGTTGAGGAGATAACCCACATGCGGAAGTGCCGATCTATTATTTTCACTTAAGAAGGGGTGTCGGACTTTTGCGATGCACTTGTGCTGATTGCATGAAACCAGCAGGTGTGGTGATGTGTGGCGGTCGTGAAGCTGTTTTATATGCTCCGCTCCGAATGTTCACCTTTAGCAGAGCTACGCTGACCTAACTTCTACTCAGTGCAACCGTTCTTCGAGGAGGATGCCGAGAGATATCTGAAGCTAGAAACTGCGACTGCTGTCCTACGAATATGAATCAAGAGTCCCACAATGACTCATAGTTCCCGGGGTATGTAGGTCAGGGCACTGATTGCAGACACTGGCGAGTTTCAGCGATTCCAGGGCTGAATATTGAGGTTTCACAAGAATTTCATACACGGCGAAAAATGGATGCCAAGACAACATTCTATGGAGCGTTACCCCAAAACCAGTTGTTGTCTTAGGATCACTTTTCAATATGATTACATCTTTCGCATGATCAGAAAGGATCTGTAAGCCATCACAATTGACTGTGGTCACTTTCTGCTTTAATTTTACAATTAGACGACTGTCTCCGTGGTCATTATAATTGCCTTCAGGTATTTTCGGGTAGCAGTTCCCTACACACAACAATCAACTGTCCCATCTCAAATCGCAAGCCAGTGTTATTTCAAGTAACTGAACTTGAATTTCATGTGGTTGCATTTTATCGTCTTTGAGTATAGCCGGTCACATTCTTTTTGCTGAGAAGCATCACTCCATCTGTTACATGGAATGTAGGCCCGTGTTTTCAGAGGTTCCAGCATCGTTTTTACTCGGTAGATTTAGCCATGAAAGCTAATGACGACACATCTAGATCTCGTCTTTGAGCTTTTTCCTCTAGGCATCGAACGTGTACCAATAACTTGTGGTACTAGCTCGAATATGTTCTTCGCTCCTAAAATTCTTGTTTCGTAGGTCAAGCTTAGGACAGTGAATCGTCGGCTTGAAGATTCATATTTTACCGCTTGGACTAATTCAAGTCCGCTCTATAAGCTTTTTGGCTACCCCGGTGCAAGCCTGATGCTTGTGATACCACAATGAATTTCCATTCTGCCTTGTATTTTTGTTAGGATGATTGAACTGAAATATTTGAGTTCAACAGCATGTTCGACTTCTCCTGACACCCCTTGTCTAGGCTTGCGCAACTTGGGAATATCCCAGCCCCTAAGTCTCTTGCGCGAGATGCACTCCTTGGATGAAGTACAAGTTGGTTTAACACACCACATTCCGAATCCGTTGCTTTAAGCCGGCTCTAGCTATACTTCTGAGGTGTCAGTGGTCAAGATATGAAGATACCCAATATCCTTCACCCGAAGTGACAAGTCTCGCAGCTGTAGAGCAATACAGCCTGCAATGTGGTTTGATGCGTCCTTTGAGACATAGTGGAATTCTTTTCGATACTAGAGGTGGCGTAAATTGGCGGACGCAATTCTGATCTTTGAGATTCACTTGTTAACTTCGTCAGCTGTTAGCCCCTGGATTCATAAGGGTATGTACATCCTGCGGTATGATTTTGCAGCTTGTGGACGCTGGGCGAATGCCGAAGGACTGGATGACCTTGGTCAGATACCTGCGTTTTCAGGTACTTTTCGTCTGCATGTTCCAGGGTGACAAGGGTCTCGCTCGGAAACATTTGTAAAACTTCCAATGTTCGGCTCATTACCTCACCTTCTTCTTTAAACAGAGCAAGTGGGAGCTCTTCTTACCAGCAGCTTGGTGACGCTTGAATGGCAAATGGCATTCGCTTATTATTTAATCGTTCAACTGTGGCACCCTTCCGGTTCTTAACTGCCATGCCACCAATAGGAAGCACGAGGGCTGAAATAATTTCAGGTTGCCCAAGCCTAGACAGGGAAGTTAAGAGGCAGAGGTCGCCTTCGAACCACGGAGTTCCCGGTCAGCGAATTCGCGCTATGACCACTGAGCCATCTTGCCCGCTCATTTTCTAAGTTGCAGGGGGTTCCAAGTTCACTGTTTAGGACTTTTGCTGGTGGCCAGTTGAATTATTGATGAAAGTATTCAGCCCGTAGAGTTCGGCTCTTCGGAGATAGGCGAGTGATTGTTATACTTACCGGGTTTCACACTTCACCCATCCCTTCAGCTTTTTGGATCCCCAAGCTTCTGTATCCGCTGATATTCTTTTTCACCTGAAGTCTGACAGTTCGTCGATTGGCTCTGTACTCTTGACCAGAAACACGTGTGCGAACTTCAAACACTTTTAAACTGTTGATCGATACCGAATATTTCGATATATTTGGTTCAACATTTTTTTAAGTGGAGGGCCCAACATCTCGCAGTTTTACGGGCGGTACCTTCAAAAAACCTGTTGTTCGAAAAGGACTTCAGTATGTTTCTAGTAGGCTTTCTTCATTGTTGTCTGTTTACTGTCGTCATGTACCACTTGACCGTCACTCCTATATAGGCATTTCGGTTAGGCATCTATGGAATTGATGTACTAACAGAAACAGTAATAAAAATCCTCTAAGTGTACCGCCTTTTCGGCGCATAGCTACTATGCTACCCGAAGGAGACAAGGGTTGAAGTACTTTCAGGTTCTCCAGGCCTAGATAGCAGTCGATATGCTGAGGATGGGTTCGAACCACGGACCTCCCGGCGAGTAATTTTGCGCCTTAACTGCTCAGGAGACATTACACCCTACCGCTCACACCCACAATTCCGCGTCTGCTATTCGAGCCCAGTTCTCTCTTTTTTATTGCAAAACTAACCGCCTCAGTCCATTATAAACACCTTTCGGTGTTATGTTTAGTCTGAACGTTAAATGCATTGACAGCGGCGTACGTCTTTTGTAACCTTTACCGGTCACCAGCTGTTCCTTGGCAGTACTGGGTTTAGACTTATTTGGCTCCGTTATGTTACCTGGCGTCCCCTTACCACCGGACAGCCCTGGAGTTAAATTGGCCACCTTATCATCAGCTGCTGTTGGCCTGGTACAATCCTTGACCGCTGATCGTTCTGGAGTGCACAGTTTTGCTGCTTTCTTTTGGAGTAGGTCTTTGTCAAATTTCCCCGTCAACCACAGAAACGAGCTCCTCGCTTACCAGTAGAGAAGCTCATTGACCCGCAAGCTTGGATAAAACCGAGGCCTACTATGCAATGCATTGCAGCAGCCTTGTAGAATATTGACCGTAAGTGGGGTGAGATAACTAAGGCTATATGTGAAATCAGGAAATCTGCTTCGATCTCCGAGTGCGTAGACCGATGCTGCTGGATTTCAGGACACTCGCTGTCGCTTCTTCTGGTTTGGAGTACAATTCAGCCAAACGGTCCATCAGACGACAGTTCAAACAGTCTGTGCGTCGACCTATGATCGTGGTGGTACCAGATGTTTCAGGAAATTGAAGAGGCCAGTCCATCTGCGAATACACAGAGGCTGCTCAAGCTTATACGCAAAATAGAGCCTAAAAGGCTTTTCTCTGATGATTTAAACGACGGTAGTGTTGGAAGTCCAATATATAATGAAGAATAGCGTCTAGATCGCTGAGTGGCATATTTCTAGCAGCACTTCACCTGTGTCTTTCATTCGACCTGCTCATTTGCGCCTGTGATCTGTGAGTTTAGGTGCACCTCGGCTGATAAAGTCCTATGTCCTTCTGCCTCGAGGCGTCATCGGGCTGATGGCCCAGAAGAGTTTTCCACAGCGCTGTCCAAAGGTGGGGGAGAATCTGTGTTTCGCTTTGACACGGTTCCTTACGGGTAAATTACATCAGCTACCGCCTCCAATACACAGCTATCTTCCTCACCTATCCAAATAATCGGTGAACGAAGCTGGCATCCAGAACCACATTACGTCAAGTACTCGGTTTGTACAGGGAATGATGATCGTGAATGATCTGGTAGACTTAGTTCACATCAGAGTCTGAGGCCATCTCAATAACCAGGCTAGGTTTTTACATCTTGCACGCCCCTGAAGTTCAGGTAGAAACAGAAACGGACAACCGGGGAATTGGAATCCATATAGGTGGAAGTCAGTAATTGACCCACGCCACCTATAGCTAATGACGACTTGGTCTATTTGTGTTGAAGTTTGTCTCGAATGCGAGGAGCACTCTGTGGCCATGTGGCTTTGATGGCTTGGAAGTTAGTGCTACACAAAAGCAGAAATACATGTACAGCAAGCATTCACCGTTTTACTTTTACCTCGGTTCCAGCCCAAGACGACCAGCGATTGATCACCATCAGCCAAATCTACCCAGCTGCAGATTCATATCTGTGGGAAGCTCAATAGCACCTGAGATTTTGGACGCCACTTCAAGCCGCTTAAAAAGTAGTAAAAACCATCTTTGAGGGTGTCAGAGGCACAGTCTTTGGGAGAAGGCATATAAGATAAACAGGCAGTGGGGTCGGTTATCAAAGGACGTCCGTTTGAGGAAAAACCTTTCAGTTTTGTAACTTAGAACAATGGAAATCACAGCAGAACCAGCTTCAGTGGCTTCCGGATCACCAGAAGTGCACAACGGAAAGAGCAATGGAACCTATGAAGATGTCAGTCCAACAACATTATTTGGGTTTTGAGTGCTTGTTTCAGAGAGACCACAAATCAGTGGCAAATTAGTCCAGCATATATGCAAGAGTAATCTGTTATCCAGCTTTTTCAGAGTACAAACGTAAGAGGCTGCCGAATGAACTAGGCGTCGGAGGTTGAAGAATGACTTGGAAGTGTCTGCGGCCGCATCAGATGAGTTGACCGTAGATGTTGCAGCTAACGGCAACGGGCGACAAGGTGTTATGTCGTTCCTCAAGAATGGGCCCACGGAAATCATCCTGGCAACAGGGTGAAGAGAGGGAGAAGGAAGAACATATAAAATAAGATAGACTATATCAGAAATATCCATGCTGTATGCAGCAAGTAAGGCAACCCGTGTGATAACACCATGCGACATGAGATTAGTTGTAGATGTGTAGTTCATAGTTGTATATGGGATGGGTCAATGCCAGGGCACCAAGACTTAGAGATGAGGACGATTATGGTTCTAAACCATGGTCTTTGGCGCAAAAGTCGAACCAAAAGGCTGCGCTGGTTGTTAGATAAACTTACATCTTTAAGGGGCAATCAGTCACGTGTTCCAACCATCAGACTAGAGGACCACGAAACTGCCAATTGACCAACTTGGTATAAGAGGCTCTTTGAATGTCACACGTACACCGCAATATAGCTGATCGGGTTAACAAACCACCACACCGTAGCAAGGTCCGGTCTCTTCCTAGATTTAACTCTGTCGATCATTTAATTCGTGGTCAGAGTGCTACCGGTGTAGCAGAGATGCAGGCAATATGTTATCTTACTACCGCTCACCTCTATGTTGAGCAAACTCTGGTACATCCGCCTCTTTAAGTAGGTTGACAAAAAGCAAGCATGTTATGATTATTCACACTTGCGCATATGGAGATGCTTTAGACTCGACCGATGTCTTTAAAGGATTTAGTACATAACAATAGGTCACAATCGTGGCCTTTCTAGTCAGGTAGCATTCGTTTGGTTAGACGTTTTGAATTGACCAAGTGACCATCCAGACGTTACCCAATAGACAGACCTTCTTCTGAATCGCGTAGTCTCCACAAATGTTATAGCTAGATACGGAGTAAATGAAGTTGAAGCCTTAACGTGGCCTTGTTTTGCCCTGGTATTATTATTGAAATCTGTAGACGTGGTTCCACCTCTGCTCCGCAATATCATCAATTCCACAGTACTGAACAACAGTTTTCCCCCATACTTAAAAGACTTGACGAGGTTGATAAGTTTGGGTATCCCATTTTCCGGAGGATGTTCTATAGTGTTTCACTGTTCACTGAGTCGAAGAACTTTGTGAATGAGTAGGACGTATAGCGGATGGTAGCATTTGCGGCCTGTTTTCCGTATGTGCCACACTGCGAAGTTTAAACAGTGTTTGGTCCTTCACTTGAAAAATACTTGGAACCGATTGGGTAGTCATCGTTTTTGAAAAAAGTTTGGTGAAAATCGGTAGATTTATTGCTGGACTATCAAATGAACCGACCCAGAAGAACTAGACCTTAGGCAGGACCCAAACACATGTAGGTTTTCTCACCTACCCAACACCTGTCCAACCACTCTAACACGCTAAAATCTCTCGGCCGACACCCAACAGAGATTTAGCTCGACCTAGCTGATTGGTTCTCCTTCCGCCTTAACTCTCCACCAACCTCGGAACCTAGTAACTTGGCCTGACGAAGCTTTTGTATCAAAAGCGAAACGTTGCCCAGCAATGAATCTACCGATTGTCACCAAACTTTTTTGAAAATGAAAGTGTTTGGTCCTCTTCGGAACGAATTCATTCAAAATGTTCGCATTCTTAAGACTTAAGAGCCGGGATTCCGCAAGTAATACAAAACTGGCAGAATTGCCCATTTTCTATCCGTTTTATCTTCTCTTGAGTAGCGGCACTATTGTTGCATCCATTTAACCTTGTGGAATATCCTCAGCTTCCATAATTGAAGGGGTCACATAAAGGAATTTACACCACAGCACTTGTCCGCCAGTTAGTCGGGTAATCCGTTATTTCCTGAAGCTTCCTCGCTTTAAATTTGAATAAGGCTGCTTGTAACTATTCCGACGTTGGAGGAACGTGTGTGATTCTTATTTGTACGTCGCGGCATTTCAAGTTTATTCCGTCTGCTTTTTGACGGGCGGTTGAGTAGTGGGGAGAAGTGAGTACATATTTTTAAACCGAAAAAAAACGGGTTGTACAGACCACATCTATGCTTTTTCGGGGAAAAGAAGTGTCTATGTTCACACAAATACGGAAATACTGGTCTCCCGCAGGACATCCCTTAACGTTCTCTTGCTCGTGCCACAGGAGATAATACAAACTTACCTGCAGAACGCCTTATTCTTACAATGATGGCTCTCTGCCTTCCCGTTTGTCTGCTTGCTATTGGCTCTGCTAACAAGGCTAAACCAGAGGGGGCAGGTATCTTGGTTACCGTAAACATGAGGGTGGTCGCAATGCACAAGCCGACTACCATACCAAAATATCAGCTTTGATTGAAGACACTGTCGCAGAAAGACTGCAAATAGTATGGTGTCCGTTGACGAGCACTTAATGAAGAGGTTCAGCTCAGTAGCATTACTGCCAGGCGTTCGAAAAGATTCGTGTTGGAATTCGGATGTCTCCCGTCGATATGAAGGCAACAATTAGAAGTTTATAGTTGGTGAAGGCGCAATGTATCCCTCAGACATGTGAGAACTTTCATCGGCAGGCACGGCTGTTAGGGTCTCTTCCATAAATCCGAGTGTCTTGAGGATGTCATTTTGTGAGCTATTGTTTTGTTCTTTCAGTAACAACGTGAATCAAATGCTCCGATTTTATGACTGCATTCATGTGAAACAGCGTACTATCTGTTAGTTGATTCAGTTGTGTCCGAAGTTAATCAGGGTTTATTACCAAATACTGCTACTAAGTACACACGCATTCCTATGACCCGTATCAGAAAAGCTGTTTTAGTGGAGTACTAGAATCGTGAATAATTGCAGCTCAAATGGTCTATTGATGGTGTTGTTTTGCCTCGACTATTGTTCATGAACGGCCACTTGAACTGTATGATGACATGATACCCTTATTATCCCAGTCACCTCGCAGCTAGATACTGTCGTTATACCGTCGTTCATAAAAAAGCCGTTTCTTTTTTTATTCTAAACGTTTTAAAACGTATGAGGCACGTAGTTTTTATTCGTTTAAAAGTATTAATGTGACAGTAATGATTTCAATGAATATCTATTGGTAGTTTCGCTCAGCTTTTAGATATATTGTTCTGTTCGTTCCTGTTAAATAAAGCTTGTCTCCGGCTACATATTCACCCAATGAATGAACAAGTTCTATCGAGAACCGGTATTAATAACTGTGTAAGTTCATTATGATATGAATAAAGTGGCATTCGCGGCTGTCGTTCCCACTGGTCTATGTGTAGAACCCTTCCAATAAGCAGTTGTTGCACGTAAGGGGCTAAGGAAGTGGGCCCGATGAAACTACATGTAAGTTGCTCCACACTCTACTATGATCATTATATATGTTGAACAGTATCCCCATATCACAGACCCGTTGGTCTATCTCGGCGAATGCAACTTCCAAACCCACGCATATTGTTTAGGATGACTTAGCTCATTTAGAACTGCTGATTGATAACCACTTATGTCCTTCACTTTCACGTAAAGAAGTATCGTAATTACTTTATTCCGTTCAATACTCAACAAAGCGTTTTCTTTACCATTGCAGGCAGGGTCCACTCAGCCATTATCAGCGGAATTAATAACAGCACCAAGAGTGTTACGGTTGAATGGTATGAAAAAGGTGAAGCGAAAGGGAAAGAGGTAAGCTGATACCATCCTATTTTATAGCTACCCAAAAAGTAGTTATTAGAATTTCGATCGACCGTGGATGCCCACTAAACCATCTTATCTACCGTGTATTCTCAGATGTCTTTTTTTGTTTTTACTCCTGCCAGCTTAGTTGGGATTAGAGCACATCACTGGTGGACGTGACTTATTGTCCATGGTGAATGTTGTGAATCAGTGTTTGAGCTGTTCAACAAACGTGATTCAAAGTAACAAAGAATCAGCTTTACCACGTGCCTAGATCCCCCCTTTTGGATGTAAACATTATGTATTCTCAGCTGAATGTCGAGCTGGAGGATCTACATTTTTATTTATACACCACTTGTTGTGGTTCATCCTTATTAGTGGCTGGATATAGTGGCTTAGATGTAGTCTTTTTTCACAACGCACTGATCGAAGCCTCCATGGGTTGGTAGATCAGAATTCTGTGCATCTTCAGTGCACAGAAAGTGCTGCATCTGTTCTGGAACAGAAGAATATCTTGTGTAGAAAAGCATGTCGGCTTTTCACTGTTTACCGTCATGCACTTGTTTTATAGACGTTTTGTGTCGACGATTAGCAAAAACAATTGAAATGCTGGTCCAACTTTTTCAGTAATGTTCATCGTTTCACATGACTTAACTAATTTCCACATTCTGTTTTTTATGATCATCCTCACTGTGATCATCATGGCTGAGTACTTGAACTTGGATATTAGGTTCATCGCAGAAGGATTCTAGGTGACTTCCGTGGGTTTTATTCTATTTGGCTAGTGGAGGACTGGTGAGCCTGGTTGGATAGGGTCGCGCCGTGGGTTGTTAGATTTGTAATTTGGCCCCATTTGCCCGTTTCGCCGCTCGCTCTCCATGTCTCACGGTTTAATTTCACCTCTTCAGTTGAACCAGTGCATTACTTCAAGTAGTATTCGGAGTAGGGCTTTCAGTACGTCGACCCCTATCTACTTCTCAGTTTGATGGCCTCGCATCTCTACGAGAATTTTCCTTCAGTAAGCTGCTTGGCTGGCTTAGTCCCCAGTCGAACACGCCCGTATAGCGTCTCGAACGACGTCCTGTTAACCCCCTTTGAAGAGATATTATCAGGTGTAGGTCAGACGTCCCGTTTCTTTTGGTGGTTTCTCTTTGGAGACTATTGCATTCGGTCATTTATCTGGGATCCGTTGGATCATGGTTTTGGTATATCGTCATCGCTGTAACAAATTCAGTCAGACTATGGCTTTTCGTGTTCTTTTTTTCAGATTGAACTAGAAGCGATCTATCATTTGAACCCTAATTTGCGAAGACCTACGGTAAGTCTCGAAGCTTCTGACTTTGTTCCAGCAGACACTCCGGTTTTTTGAAGACATTTTAACTTATGGGATCTTATCAAACCTCTAGGGCGAGGTGGCCCAAGTGGTTAGAGCACGAATTTACTGACCGGAAGGTCCGTGGTTCGAATCCGACCTCTGCCACTCGACTTCCCCTGTCTAGGCTTGGGCGACCTGGCAGTATCCCAGCCCTCGTGCAACCTTCGGGTGGCATGGCAGTTAGGCACCGAAAGGGTGCTACAGCTGAAAGAGAAGAAGAGGTGTTATAAACTGCTCACTTTTTGGCTTTACCGTGTTTCTCCTTTACTTGCTAGACAGTAAAACAACCGATGACATTCCTTGTGTGCGGAAAAGTCGGGACTTTTTTCGCTGGTATCGTTTGGGAAAATTACCTGGTTTCAACCGCATGTCAATGGCCACTCAAGGGTTTGCTTTTTGACATCGGTTGATCAGATTTTCATCATCGCCATCAACTGGTTCTATAGCCTACTCGTCACAAAAGTTCCGAATCACCGCTCATGTGATGGAAAATCAATCCGATGTAGCGAGATGGCTCAGTGGTTAGGGGGCAAATTTACTAACCGGAAGGTCCGTGGTTCGAGCCCGACCTCTGCCTCCCGACTTCCCCTGTGTATGACAGTATGCCTGCCCTCGTGCTTCCTTCGGGTTGCATGGCAGCTAGGCACCGAAATAGTGTTACGGCTGAACGGTTATTATTATTATTAGCCTTATCATGATTCAAGTCTTGGCTAACTAATAGCTATATCATCAGTTGATAGTTGTCTTGGAGATGCACTTTGAGTGAAAATTCTCTCAATGTCTATAGGATCTTGAATGGAGGCAGCTCGCAATACCCTCCATCTTTTATGTTTTCGAGGTGAATTGGATACTTTTCCTTGCTGATTGAGCACTGGTACATAAAACGTGAAGTTAAAAATTCATCCCTTATTTTGCTCTAGTTGGAGTATTTCCCGGTTGCCAAATGGAACAGGATAAGATAGACGCTATAAAGAAGGCTTTCTCAACATTTCGTTAGAGCAGTTACGCGATTAATATACGGTTGATTAGTGAAATACACTCATTTGCAAACTAATTTGGTTTTTAGAAAGACTCACCTAGAACCCAGCTGAATCTCTCGTTTGTGATGTTTCCATCAACCTTATGAGTAGTGCATTACGAATATACGGTTGATTACTTAGTTCACCACCTGTACTACTATTGGGGTACCATTCAAAGCTACCTCATGAATCATTCGAGTAGTGTAACGTATTTTATTATCCCACATTCATCGGACCGTGAACCTTAGCCTACGAATAGATACAGTTCTTGCTTGATGTCTGTTATGATGACTGCACTTTCGGATCAGATGTTTATTGCGTCGTCGGAATGGTGCTCATCCATGTGCTGCATCATTGTTCCCGACAGCATCACTAATGTGGAAACGCTGGTGTGATATGCGTTAATTTTATGTTTGCGTTGAGACTTGTTGCCCGTGGTTATACCGCACGGGTTAAGATGCCTACAGGTGCACGAGTCTTTTTTTCGAAAACAGTGACTATTATCTTTTATTGAGAACCTCCCAGTAGTAGCCAAAGAACACAGTCAATCGGAACATATGCACTTCTTGTTGGATATTATCTACACAAGGGTAACATTAATGGAAACTCCCAATGGTCTTGCTGCTGCGGTACAGGTTTTCGTTTTTCATGTTCGGCAGGACAAACGGTTTCGCGTTCTACACAGCCATTGTGTGTCATTTTTCAAATTCGTGCTGATCGCACAAACCAACTATTGAGACAAGATCAGTAGTGCACATCACACAGATCTCGCTTAGCTATTGGAGTTCCAAGGACACACGACTGGGCAAGAATACCAAAACACCACAATTGCTTAGAGATACTGGAACCCACTGAAATAAGTAGCACAGGTTTTCGGCGGTTATCTAGGCGTACCGAACTTCAAAGACACAAGACGCCTAATAAATACCGCTCCTCATTTTCTTGCCAATTACTTATATTTAATGTTGTTGCCTACCCACATTTAGGGACGTTTGTCTACAATTGATCTGAATGTATTTCAAGTGCTGCTAAATAATTTTACTTGCATTGCCATTGAGTTATTCTTGTGGTTAGTTCGAAAGCACTGTTCTGCTCCTAGCGATCCACAGCTTCAAGTAAAAGGCGGTAGAAAGGATTCCTAGACTACTTTGTGTAAGGAGTCGGCGCTCATATCATGCTTATTCTCGTGTTACTCTGTTGTTGCCATCTGTCATGATGTGTAGTCGTGGATTATTGAAACATCGTGCTTGATTACCATTTTCTTTGTTTTTTTTCTCCAGCCACCAACTGATAATGTTGGTGGAACAGGGGAATCAAACAAAACACACCTCTCAAAAGAAGCTTCAGTACAACGTTCCGCGCTTCCTTCCACTGCTCATGGTCCTCCCAGCGATAGCCGGCCTGTATCAGCAGTCACCAACCTCCAACAACATCCTCAGTCTAAGTGTGAGGTACCAACTGCACCTCCTCCCTCCCGTTTGGTTCCCCCGGGCAACCGTGCTCCGGCACCTTCACGCCCGGGTACCGTGTACGTATCCAACAGGCCTACGCTAGGTAGTGGTACTCAGGACGACCGAGTGAATCAGACCCGCATCGCTCCTGGGCCTAATACGAGTGTAGCGGTCAATCAGACTATCCTTGACGCACCATTGTTGCGACCACAGGATGGACTTGGTGGGTGGCTTTGCATTCCGCGTCTCTTGAGTCTCGTTGCAGTGCTGTATCTGAGTCTAGTTGATGTATCTTTTTTATCTCAGGGTATAGTAACAATTCACATTACCAACGTTTGCGTAAGGAGATGCCCATACAAATGGACGTCGACTCTTCCGACCACAGCGTCCATGGTGGTTTGGGAAACGATTCCGTGACTGATGGATTGAATCACCTGGCCGACCTCGCACGGGACCCTGAGACCGGTGGCTTGTATACTGAATGGATGGAACAAGATAGTGCTGAAGTCGCAGATGAAGAATCCCTAGCAATAGGAATCAACTCACGTCCTTCAGCCAATGATCCCCAGAGACGCCCGATGGGTGAGTGTCATGAGTTAGCTTTTGATGTCTATGATTTGTGTTCGTCTGTCCACCGACTTCGCAGTCCACTCATAAATTGGTGCTTCGCCTAGCAGTTAACCGTGTCTTTTTAATGAAACCGTGCTCATGGTGCTTACGGCTTTAAATCGGCCTCTCAGAGGATAAACAGCGAATCTCTCTGATATTTTTTTCACACATCTGTATGATGCTAACTTTGACATTTGTTTTATATCGTAAGACGCTCTTGTTGGTCTGCTTTTGACTGGACGCCCGAACTCAGTGTCACGAGCTTGTACGCCGCATCATGAACTTTCTCAAGGTTGCCACACTAGAAGTTTTCTCACCACATATTACGAATTCGTGTGTTCTACGTTACGGTCAGATAATTCTTTGGGAGTAACCAAGCTGCTTTGAGGAATCAGGTGTGACATTTTAATGATAGGTTGTCACACTCATTTGGATTCGTACCATTTGCCTATAGTTTTCAAAATCCTCAGGGGGAATCCGATAACTCCAGGCTGAATTTGGAAGTTTCGCAGGCTTGTCCTGAAAAACAGTTTACTGCGCATTTCTTTCCTGCTGGGATGCATCGGGATTCAACTGATAGACAAATCTACGTCTGGAACACAGGTGGGACCACCATTTCCACTGCTTTAGGTTAAAAATCCAAACTCTGAACCTGGAAACTGCGATGTGTCTTGTTCCAACCACCTTATGAGCTCTAACTGAAGTAAACCACACCGCAGATTCATCATATCTGTTTCGTGCTTGATCTATCTGTTTTGAAGTCATTATGCCTTCGGTCACCAGTCTTGACATTTGATTAGCACACTGTTTCAAACCAACACAGTTGTGAACACTGTTGAACACTCACACTCATCTCTCTGTTTGACTTAGCTCGTCTGAATACAGTTGCACAAAATTCAGCTCCTACCAATTCGGCTACCACAAACACTGGTGCCTCTGTACCTCGAAAATCCAATTGTGTGAAAGAAATCGAGCGGATTCAGCAGCGACGCGAAGAAAGGCGAGCTGCTCAGCGGGCGTTTCGTGACCAAATTGATCTCGATCCGAGCAATCCAAACTATGAATTCCATATGATGATCAAGTAAGTCCCGAGTATTCAATCCCTCGCCTGGTTTCCTCCCGTCTATTTCAAGTTGCTTTATTTTTTACCAAGATGAGACGGCTCAGAGTTTATAGCGCGAATTTACTGACCAAAGGTCCGCGGTTCGAACCCGACCTCTGCCTCTCGACTCCCCCTGTTTAGGCTTGGGCAACTTGGCAGTATCTCAGCTTTCGTCCTTCCTTCGGGTGTCCTGGCAGCTAGGCACCGAAATAGTGTTACAGCTGAACGATTTTTTCGCTACTGAATGACCGGTTTTTGATTGAACTTCTTTTAAGGAGAGGGTGTTGGAAATCTGTAAAACCCTGATCGTGGGGATGTATAGTCACGATGGGAAGTTACTAACCCAAGTCTTTGGGTGACCAGCATCTTTCCTCCGCTGCCTTCATTTTCACAGCAATTTTAGGCTGAGCATGCTTAGTTGAAGCTATCCTCTTCCCAGTGCTCTCTTATGATGTTCTGCAACGGTTGTCATCGATCAATTAACATTTGATAGTTTATTGTTACTACGACCACCTACAGTAAGTTCAGCTAGATATTACTTTTCTACAGGGAACTGATTGTTCCAGTATAGACTGAACTATAAGACCCATAGATAGCCTCTTGGAATGGCAAATTTTCTACTTAAGTTGCTCCTGTACACCGCTTGGCACATTTCGATGCAGTTTGTTTCGTCTGGTTACGCGTTGTTTGGAGATCACCTGTGCTGCTAATTCGAAACTTGCAAACCACCTCCCAATCGGGCCCCTATCCTTACGCAGTGTCAACGTAGACAGAGTAGGAAAGGGTCTTAGGAATTTTACACGACCAACTTCGTCAGTCGGGTGATTCCCCTTCACATTTTCGTGAAACTAATCAATGTAACCATCACTTGTCTTTTGGGAGGTTAATTATGACGTCGTCCGTATTGATTATGCATGAAACATTCGAACCAACGTTCACACGGAAGCCCGTGTCAATGGAATATCCCATTAGAATAGGGTGGGATTTATACAATCTCAGGTCTTTCGCAGTTCGGAGAAATCACGGGGGATTTTGGTTAACACCTAGGAGCTGTTGATCTCAAGACCATGCGTCCACTGACCAGTCTTGGAAAAGTGATGATCTGGTCGCAACCTTCCACTATTCATCAGGTCGTTCGAGTAAAGTCAGCCGCTTGTCACAGCGAAACAGATTATTTTAATCTAAGCACGGGCTGAAAAAGACTGGCGAGTGAGCAACAGGTAAAAACTACCAGCCAAAATTGACGGTAACCGATATCATCTACGTTCAATGGATGAGTTTCAGTTGTAATTAAAAGTATTGGACGATTGATTTTTTCGGTACTGAACCAGATCCTTAATTGGATTATTCGGTTAAATTCTCTGAAACTCGCTCGAACCACAACTCGATCCGAAATAAACAGTATATGACCAATGAACCAGTTCTGGTTACTGGATACGCTCTTTACTTGAGGTAACATTTGTTCAAACGAGCATTCATGTTTCGATCGCCCTGCTGAGTCTGTTCTTCAGGCTTCTGATACATTGGTTGTCCGAGCTATGAGGGCGCGCCCCACAACTTAAATTAATTTGTTTTCCGTGACTTTTGCCTTTTATACGCAAGATGCATGTGGAATAAATTCGGTCACTTCACCCTCCAGTCTTTGCAGTTTTTTAAAGTAGGTGTAGCCCAGAAGACTGACTGAATCCATAGGCTATTATTGACCATATCCGATTATATTTCACCCTTTCCAGTGAATATCGCAGTTCGTTGGATTACCGACCTTTGACGAATGCTGATCCGATTGAGGATCATCAGATTTGTGTTTGTGTACGCAAACGACCGATGAACAAGAAAGGTAACCCAAAAAACTTTCAAAGAATCTCCTTTGCTCAATTTGATAGTGTTCGCGATACGCATATTCAAATTCTGTCTTCCTCTCATCATCCTACAGGAACCTGTGCAAGCAACTCAGGTGCTGTAGGGTCAATCCGGGGTTAGTATCAAATGACGGACAATCCAGGCTGTTTTTCCTTATCACCTGGACTACTTATCTATAGGAACTGGGTAGTATTCAGTTTACTGATCGTTCTTGGCTGCAAGATTTATCCCGGTTACTTCTGTGTCATTTTCTAATAATCACAAAGTTCGTTATCCTTGACAATTTTGGCCTTCTGAATTTCCGAAAGCTTTGCAATTTGCAACTCATCCTAGTATTCCGATTCTTTTTTCTAAGGGTTGATGGTCCGACTGCGATTCTTGGTGTGTAGACATCCACTTCCAGATTTACATATCACATCGAACTAGGCTGATTAACCCCCGCACACAAGAGATGAATCTACACGTGGTTTGGTCACAGCCGCGCGTGCAGCCAGCTGAACGCACTGCGTCTGGTATGAATCCGAGGAGATAAGGCCGGTTCAGCTGTTAGTCGATCCGCATACCCAAACCGATGATCCCTTATTGTTACACCATGCGGGAGCAACTGAACAGCTGTGAACTCAGCGTATGCGAATTCGTTGCCTGGTGATACCATTCATAAGCTGTACGTGGGTGCAAACATATGGAGAGCTGTTGCTAGCTACTAATCAGTGTGATTTGTACAACGATGGTCACAGGAAGTCACATCTAGTACTGTTTTAAGCTTAACACTCCGCCCTATCCAATGTTTAAAATGAATTGTTTGCCAATATATACGCTCAGAGGCTTTTGTCGTGATTGTTACAGACAGAGATGTCTCTGAGCGGGTTGTGATCAGAATCCTTTTACCTTCTCTCGAGTTCATACGAAAAGTCTCTTCGATTGTCCCTAAATATAGCGGAATCGTGCAATGCACGCTTTAGTTTGACTCCTATCCAGTAAAAAGCTGTCTGTCAAGCACGGTGTGATAGGCATTCAGCTATCCGTTACTTTCTTCACTCAGAGGCTGGGCGCAAAGAGATCGATGTTATCACCGTGCCCAATAAGCAGTCGGTTGTCGTCCATGAGCCCAAAACCAAGGTGGATCTGACCAAGTACTTGGAGAACCAACAATTTCGATTCGATTATGCATTTGATGACACATCGGACAACGAGTTGGTAAGTCTTTTCAGTTAGCACTCAACATTCTTATTGGTGATGTTTGTGCGTCTTCTGCTGTTTCAAGCTGGCACGGTGCTATTGATAAGTTGTGGTGTTGTATTTAAAGAGTTTCTGGGGGGGTATTCTGCAGAAGCATTGTAGACTCCCCCAACACTTAACAACATGTTTTGTTTTTTTATCAAGACGTTGGAAAATTATTTGGATTCCCATCTTTATGTTAGACCTTTCAGTGTGAAAAGATGTTCAACAGGTTGGTGGTCACTGCATGCTGTGGCTGGATTGGCTGCAACAAGATCGGTTTGGCTGAACTAGCCGATAAACCTGCGAAAGTACAGGCTGTTTCTCATCAAAGCCTTTGGAGAAGTAAATTGTGTGAATATTTTTAAGTAGCTGTCTTGCCTGGACAAAAAACTGTATCAACGACTCCATGATGAGCGATTCTGGAGGGCTTAGTTTCATCATTCGCTCTCCGTCTTGGCGCGTTGGTTTCACTTTTCAGGAATTTATCCAAATGTGGTCATCGTAATTAAGTGTGCTTCCACACCTTCACTATAATCAGGTCTACCGGTATACGGCGAAACCTCTTGTCGAATGCATTTTCGAGCGTGGTATGGCAACTTGTTTTGCCTATGGACAAACCGGTTCAGGAAAGACACACACAATGGGTGGCGAGTTTCACGCACGAGGACAGCAAAACTGTACTAATGGAATCTATGCTTTGGCCGGTGAGTTTTACCGTTTCTTTTTGAAAGCACTGCCCTCCCAGAGCTGACCTCTTGGCTGTTGCAGTGTTAATCTGCTATGATGTTCACATATTATCCAACGCTTCTACGTGACAGAAGCTTCTGTGCAGCACAATCACTTAAAGCATATTGCAACCGAGAGAACCAGGTGACTTTCAGTTGAGTCTTCTGTAACCAGTGAATTAATTTCCAGATGAAGGTTTATGTTTTGATGGGGCTTGTGACATTCCCATGTATGATCTCATTCTCCGATTTCGCTGCTTACATTATGCTGCACCCAAAATGACATATGTGTATTTGTTGCTTAGCCAACTGAGTCACGTGCTTAAAGCACGTCACATTCGTTTGTGAGCGTCCTCGATCGTTCAGCTGTTGTGTTGACGAGAACAGTGTGAATTGTGATGCATCGTACCATGAAGTTATCTTTGGACTAATGTATGCGCTTATTGTTGGGTCTTTCGCGGCTAGTCTATTCCAAGCATAGGGAGTGTCAGTGATTTCATGGCTGCATTCGCCTGTTTGTTTGGACATTGGTAGTTCAGACGTCCAGTTCCGTTTTGTTGTGGCCTGTTGTATAACCACAGTGAATGTCTCTGTTTCGGATCCTACTTTGCCACGAACTGAACTTATCTCCACTAAATTACTGTTTTTTTGTAATAGGCTGACGAACATCAACGCGCTCATATAGCATGCTGTTCTTTTACAGTACTGTGTGAAGTCAATCGGTAAGCAGATTCGTATGGCATGCAATAACCTCACTCTGGTGCTCTTTTCACGTTTCAGCTTCGGATGTGTTCGCTTTGAATTCCACGAAGTACCGGCATGAGCGACTGCGTGTTGAGTCGGCTTTCTTCGAGATATACAGTGGTAAAGTGAGTGGTACTGAAGTAACCGCCTCACTTAGTTGCCATTTAAAGTAACTTGTACGATTCATGATGGTATATTGTACCCCATATTTTTCGTCGTATCCCCCTCGGAAGATTTCCAATTTTTCATAACAATCGATTCCAGTTTTCACGATTTTTTTGCAACAAGATACAGACATTGCCCCCTCATCATCGCGCTCGGTTTCAAGGTATTGCTCATCGTTTGCACAACTGGGAACAGCTTGTAAGGTAACATGGACGTGGAACATCTGCTTTTTTGTAACCAACAAACTTAACATTACTACCAGCAGTTACGCTTCTGAGTGATTTTCTGATTGGGTTATATCAGTCGTCAGCGCTACTAACAGGCGTGATTCAGTCTCGCACTCAATTGGGTTCCCATATGCGAGATATTATTTTCGTTTCGTAGCAATATTTTCATCCTTCGCACTGATAAAAACCTTTGATAACTACCATACCATCTTCGCTGAGTTCACACTCCAGCGTTGTTTTCTATTCACAGCTATCCCTTCGTTTTAGGTTAACACAGCTGTACCAGCTGGAGACACTGTATTATCTCCGCCTACCTCTCGGCTTCTTCTGCCGCTAATGTTAATAACCCCCTTGATTTCTGCGTCACTGTTGCCTACAGGTAGCCGCTTGGCACCACAGATTAAATCGGGTTCTGAGAAACAATGGGGAAAATCCTACGCACCTCTCCTATGAACGACACGCTCTCCATGATCGTAGGGGCAGGAAATGTCCACTGTATCTTTACGATGCATTGTTTCGTATCAGTGACATGTATGCAGGTATAATGACTATCGGATATGATGGATTTGAAAGCTATCAGGACTCCTTGTACGTAGCTGTTGAAAGCAGACAACAGTTTTCTCAACTGACTGTAGAAACCAAGAGGGACCCTGCACATTGATCGCCCCTTGCGAAAGATAATAACGCTCTCAACATTTTTCGGTATTAGTGGTGTTTTCTCCGAAGTTAGGTTACTTTATCAGTGGTATATGTAAAAACTTAAATTGGTGCTACACATTGAGAGTTGACTTGAATCCGAGCCTTAGGGAAGCATCACGATACTTTCAGGTGATTCTAAAAAACTTCAACAGCGGTATTGTTGTAGTGTTTACCTACTTATGAGAAGGTACAAGAAGAAAAATACGGTGAATCACGATAGGAACACAGGGTGCAACGACCAAAAACGCAATTTCCCACTATTTTCTTAAAAGATAATATGATATCTGCAGAACTTAACAGTTTTTCCGACTGAAGGATGATGGTTTTTAGTTTCCTGACGCACCGCAAAATCGGCAGTATGTCTAACTATTGGTAACCCGAGTGGATTTATTGGCTGCTGATCAGCGGTCAATCCCTATTAATAAGAAAATTGAGTGGACACGAATACTGGACCGAAGAACTCGAGACATTCCCATCATTTTCTGGTTTTGGAGGATGGATTTCGACACTTAAAATTCAAACCAGGTACTCATGACTCGTGCAATTCGCCTAGCAGACTCTGCTGGGTTATGAAATCTGTCAGTACAGCTTATTTTTCCTCTCGAATTTGTAATAAGACGGTCATCGTTCTTAGACCAATTTATTTCTAGGACAGTCAACGACAAGTTGAAGAATGTCGTTTCATCCCTGGTATCTACTTGATCTACTTGATCTTTCTAATCACGATCATTCACGAAAAACGTGATCTGTACAGGTTGTCGATGAAACATATAACGGTCGCAAAATTTTATTTGGTATTGGTATTTGGACCGTGTGCACGAATAGCACAATGAGGATGTTCACTGTCCACTTAGATGTTTTGTGTAAAGTTAGGACAATTTTCAAACTGCTTGCTGACTACAGAACAGACTAATAGGCTCCCCGAAATTCCACAGAGACCCTTTTCAGTCAACCAACTACAAGACAATCATCTTCCCAAAACAAAGCCATGGAGTCCTACAAGGGATGAATAATAATTTAATAATTTAACTAACTTCTCGATGGGTCTTTGGAGGCAAACGTTCTCAACCTTTGCATTGGCAAGGTCTTGATTATGCTTATGTGAAATGAGGAAGGAAACGACGTCTTGGAATTTTGAAGTGTTAGTGAAATATACCATAAAGTATATTCAGTGAACTATTCACTGTTACCGGTATACTTGAACCAATAGAAAAAACGATACAGATAGGTCATGAACGTACAGGGCAAGTAAAGACCAGACACCTGTTGGCAATGGTAAGAACTCGGCTGCCCACACATGAGTACTAGGTTCGGGTGGCAAAATAGTAATGTTTACCTTGATGGAACATCGTTCGTTGCATCAAAAGCCTCCAAACAGCAGAAGCGGACCTCTTTTTTGTCACTATCAACATATATTTTAAGTGTAGATAAAAAGGCATGTGGTTTAGCCCTTTTTCCGAGTTCTGAAGAAACCGAATGCAAAAGGTACTGAACAACGTTGAGTGTAGAGCGCGACTCTTCACAGCCTGAGATACTTGTCTGGTGTTAATGCTCGATAACATTACCCCCTGAAATAACGCACGCAGCAAATCGATCGACTTTTCAATCTTCCTTTCTTATGTACCAAAGTTACCTTTGTTATCTCCCAGCGATTAGTTGTCGTTCAGCTGGTGGAATACAGTAAATATCTGCACACAATATGAGGAACAGAGATGATAGCAGACTTGGACCACATGCTTCGTTACATTCTAGTTTGAACATCTTTCCCTGTACCATATTTATGATCGGTTGTTAGTGGAGACACTCGCTCATTTGGGACTTCCAAAAGTGTTGGTGGATCGGTCGAACTTGTGGGTTCATGATTCAGCATGTTAGGTCAATGCTGTTCATGCGTACTAGAACGCATTCCCATGTATCTGCATGTCACTGCAATGTCTATTACCAGCAGCATTTAATTCCAGGTTCCATTCCTCCCATCAGATGCCCAATTTCAGGACGTTGCCCATTCTTGTATGCAGCCTCCTTTTTCTGAAGCTGTTTCAGGAAAATAGAGGGAAATCTTGCTGTAAGTGGCTTCAATAGGCCGAATTAGGAGAAGGGTTCTGTCAACGTTGTCGAAGACTAATATTATGGAGGACTGCGAAATACGTGTAGGAAAGCTCTATCCCTACTGAGCTGGTGTTTTAGAGCGAACAACATCCTCACCCTGGCACCCGCAAATTCATCGCGTGGTAGCTCGACTAGACTACAACGCAACGTGCCTGTGTGTAACCATAGAGTAGCTACAAATCATAGATACAGTCAGGTCTGTTGCCGGGCTTTTTGAGGAAACGCAAGTTGTTCAGCCTGTGGAGTTTGAAAGACAGTCTGTTTTATTTGGATCGATTACCTGTTGTAATACAAGCGAGTGGTCACTACGGCGGAAAACGGATTAAGAAATACGATGAGCTCCGCCACTGAGGTTCTAGGGACAATATACGCACATTATTTCTCCTTCAAGCAAAGACTACACGCGAAACGGACTGAGTGGTCTTAGTTGAGGATTGTACTACTTGGAGTGGAAACAAAAATTAAAGTTTGCTAATGCTGGTCTACTCGGCCTACAGTGACCAGCTTGAGTCGTTGTAACCAGCCTCGACAATGATGCGATGTATATAGCGTTCTCTTTTAAGGTAACTGCACACTGAAGTACTCCTCTGTACCATCCTTAGCACATTGCTGCTGCCAACTCTGCACATGCCATCACAACTTATTTGGATTTGGTGGAGTCGGCTGACAGTATTCAGTAAAAGCCAGGTCTGGCAGCTGCGGAGCAACCAAATGTTTACAACAAATGAGAAATATTTCAATTCAGGTCTACTGGGTTCTCTTCCATGAAACGCAAGATGAAGTCCATTAGGGCGATAAAAAGTTAGGGTCATCTGAATCCGTGTGTAAATCATCAAATGACGAATCCTAAACACTATCAACTTCGATGCGATAGATACCGTTTTGTTGATGAGATAATCGGTTGTTTTTTCCAAGTTTTTTAAACGAGCTCTTGCTGTTTTCATCAGAACAGTTGGATTTGCAATATTCGTCTTTTCTTTTGGATCTGCCACTGATATTTAGTGTGACATAAAACAACAGCTTTTGACATATTACCTATTCAGAAGGGTACCCTATGTGGAAAGATTAACATTCAGTTGCACGCCCTTGAAAGGATCGAATATGATCGCGCGATAACTGTACGTAGTTGGTGGAGTAACTAACTAAACTACCCCGGACACAAGAGCTCACACAATTAGGTAGGCTACCCCTCTAAGGTCGCTGATGCTTTTGTCAAGTGTATTGAAGAAATACTTAAAGTGGACTCTGCTGATTCTCGAGTTTGTCACAGATTTAGTAAGGTGTGTTCAGTGAATTTGGTCTGTGAGTGCAGTGCCTGCAACATTCACATTAATCATTAAAAAGGTCGACGTTGTCCATTTGTAAATTCTTCTCTTTGTAGGTTTTCGACCTTCTCAATAAGAAGAACAAACTTCGCGTACTGGAAGATGCCAAAGGCCAGGTTCAGGTCGTCGGTTTACGTGAGGAACCAGTTACCTGCGTCGATGATGTGCTGCGGCTTTTACAACACGGTCAACACATAAGAACAAGCGGACAAACTTCGGCCAATCAACATTCTAGTCGATCGCATGCTGTTTTCCAGGTGACGTTTGATGCGACTTTTTCTTTATGCCACAGATTGGGGTTCGTATAGATTTGATTCATGTGCTGTGCTATGGAAATCACCCATCAGCACTTAAATGGCTGAGTGAAGCCTAACGAATGCTATTAGCGAAGGATGTCCATTTGTTGACTGATTCTCCCTTGTCGGATCATTGTTTGGTATTGCATAATCCGAAGTGCAGCTGATAATACATACACACAGACCTAGTACTTCACGAAAAGCAGTTTTTCCTCCATTAGTAGTGGTAAACTCTTTGTGCTTATTCGCCCTTTTCTTTGTCATTCTGCCTTGCAGTTGATTCTGAAACGCGAAGGAAGTAACAAAATTCATGGGAAATTTTCTCTAATCGACTTAGCAGGTAACGAAAGGGGAGTGGACACAAGCAGTTCAGACCGTCATACGCGGATGGAGGGTGCAGAAATCAACAAGAGTTTGTTGGCGCTGAAGGTGAGTGAGTAGCATCTGACTTGTAGTCGATCCTCGCTGGTACAAGGTTCCTGAGAATAATTTTGTCAATTTAGATTTCAATAATCGCTTGTCATCACTATTTCACAAAATAAACACTAGTGTCCTCTACCAAGCTGCATCTCCGTAGTTTATGCTTTAGCATGTGCTGGGGTGTCTGCACAAGATCACACACTTTCCTTAAAATGTTGCAATTCACTCGCCTTATTTAAGCTGCAGAATGGAATTCGGCTGATGAAGGAAAACCATCACCATCACCGTCATAACGCTAGTGTTCAGTGTGATAGAGTTCAACACGCGACGGCCGATTTGGCATGAGATTACTTTTAAGTGTGCAATTCACGTTTGTGCGTGGAGCGGAACCCTGGCACAGGGACCAACTTATCCGTCCAGCTACAATTTGGCTGAAAAAAAAAAGAGATGTAAAACACGAAACTACTCCAAACTGTGTTCGCCGAGTCGATCCTCAAAAGATACACCAGAAGGGTCCTTGTCTAGGAGGTGGATTTAATAACGGCTGTGGATTAGAGATGTTATCACTTTATCATGAGCACGAAGTTCGTAGTTACCTGGCTTTTCCATTATCCGGTGGGTTCCATTTGCGAGTTTTCAGACCACTCTTATTAGAACCTTCGGGTTTACTCTTCGTATCAGAGTGGACATTTCCATCACCTTCGCAGTCGCAGCTAATTCTTTTTTACATTGGAAAATCGCGACTCTGCATTACTGATTACCGATCACCATGATGCTCCTAAGAGTGAGACCCCCTGAAGATAGGCCACTGTTTAAGAGAGTCTGTAGCAAACATTTTCCAACAGATTTTCACTGGATCCTCCCTGGAAGAGTCACCGTTCGTCACTCTAGAGTCCACGGTTTCTTTTCTCGAAGATCCCGGTGTGCTGTAAAATCCTCGGCGACAAACGGTTTTGGGGGCAATACAGTCTATCTCAGATCTTAGATGCATCTGTAGACTAGGTCTGCTCTGGTTAATATGCCCGATTTAGACCGATCAACACGTACTTTCACCCACGGCGCACTGGCGATTTCGTGTCGTCTGGTGATGGAAGTTTCGCAACCAAATTTTCCAGATGGGTGGAAAAATCAGTGACCATCATCACAACCTGGGCCAGGAATGGTTTCCCCACCTGTATCTGTACCTCTTTTTAGCCGCTGTCAAACTAAAGTACGGTTTTTGTATAGGTAACTTAAATTAGCGTTGCAAAATATCGGTAACGACTTCGGAACTACTACATTTTAACGGAAACCTGATTTTCCAGTGCCGATTTTCGGAGATGTTGCTTGTTCGATATTGAAGGGTTCTTTTTTCCAGATGATACCAGTTCCGGATAACGAAATCCTATGTGGATTACACAGCATAATGTTCTTTGGAGGAGTCATTTCGCAAGGTGATCACAGTCTGTGATTTTTCTATGACCTCCCTGGCTGATTATTGGTTCTTATGGAGTTCAGCGGAAAGAGCTCACTCCCAGGGGAATTCAAAAAGCTTCTCTCCATAGAAAAGGAATCACTGTACTTCAGTTTGTGATGAACTCCCCCTAAGGCAGGGTAAACTTTAAGAATACATTGCAACACGTCTGCTCACAAAACTCGATTGGCCGCGTAATAATCCTTTAATTGTCCTATTTCTTGATTCAGTCGAGGACACGGGGACGCGAAAGTTGAACAACGTTCCTGATTATTGATAGTTTGGTTTTCAGTTGCCCCCCGATGCAACAGTTAAGCTTTGGGAAGGCGGGTGGCGGCTGGAACACTTAAAAAACAACGGGAGGGAGTTTATGCGTTTTGCGTACAAGGCATCTTCCAGAAACTAGGTGTTTCTCATGTAGAGTGACTCTTATCCCTGGCTAAAAGAAGTGCAAAATGTGAGTAATATGCCTTATTAAATCACGCTGGCGTACTTATGAGGTGTTAGCTTTCAAGAAACTGGTCAACAGTAGGCCGCTGCGAATCTGCACCGTCAACGAATGACTGGTGCTGTATCGTAATTGCGCTACTGACCAGCGGTTTCTGGCTAAGCAGTGGATCGTTTTTCTATCATCTGGAAATCTGAGATTTCATGTTTCATTATAGATTTGTGAAATGTCTACTGCTGATAATTCCAAATGCCAGCATAGATCGACTTCTCGAAAGGTATAACCCGCCATTGAAATGGGTCCATTCTATAACACAAAGGGTAGTTATATGCCTACAGGTTATCACGACCTGAAATCAACCGTAGTCTTTGTGAGCAGCCTGCCTTGAAAACCATATTTCAATATCTCTCCCTCAACTTGATCTCAAGCTGTCCGTTTTCATTCAGTTTACCTGTTCAAGTGAATGGGCTTTTCGCGAATATGACATGAACCTAGCACACACAGTCCAAGTTATGTGTGTTTTCTTAACCTTTCATCCATCCTTTCGTTTTTTCCACACTTTTCATCCACTAAACGCGCTAGGAATGCATTCGTGCCCTTGGGCGTAAAGGGGCTCATCTGCCGTTTCGTGCCAGTAAATTAACCCAGGTCCTTCGAGATTCGTTTATTGGCGATCGGTCAAGAACTTGCATGATTGCAATGATATCCCCGGGCATGGCGAGTTGTGAACATACACTGAACACGCTGCGGTACGCTGACCGGTAAGTTTGAGCCTCATATTTATTTAATGCAAACCCATGTCAGAAGATCATTGTGAACATACTTTATCTTCCCACAGTTGTTTACTGTTTGTCCCTCCTTGTTTTCTGTATTGCTTTGTGACTTGAGCACACCTTACACTAAAAACTAAGGGTATAGATGACTCAGCATTGCATATCAAACCTTTGCTCGACCATATTACCTAGTGTAGTTTGGTACAAAGTTACAGCTATACCTACACACCAGAACGGTTGCACATTTTCTGTCCTTCAAAGCGCATCTTGTGACCTACCAACAGGCTCCCATTTCTTGAAAATATGTACTTATGTTTGCCAATCCATCTAATATAGTTGCCATTGGATACGGTTTTGTTGAATAGCTGTATTCTGCCTTTGAAATGGTACAAAGATGCTCTCACGTGAACTGATCCTATATGGTTTGAAAAACTGATTATAGAACTGTCCGGTTCAAACTGCTCGGTATCCGAAATGTACTTGCAGGAATTTCATAACGCGCCGATAGGTCAGCATCAGCCTGAATAGACCCGATACTTTGGAGATTAGCGTAGTTTTTGACTTACAGCCAAACCGTTGCCTAGGTCAACTGTAACCCCAACTCCCGGATTCCTGTGATGGTTCCTGAATAAGGTCAACCTGATTAGTTTCATTTTACAGTTTTCTTGGATGTATTCACGTTGTTTTTCGAATAACGTTACAAGAGGATTCGTTGAGCCGAGCAAACATGATTTGCTTGAAAAGCCATACTGAGTGTATCAATTGTTACCTGGCGAGGTTCACCTTTTTCAGCAGGGGAATTCTTGGAGTGTTTCACTTATGTCACTTCGTCGTCTTCTCTGTCTCCATTCTTTTGCAACAAGTGTGAAAGAACTCGGCCCCGGTGGTATCACCTCTGGTAAGTGGCATTTGTATGTGTCTAGACTTTTATGTATGTTTCCACTCATTCACTCGTTAAGCCCGAGGTTGTCAATCAACATTTTGACTCACTTCGTGTGCGCTGGTTTTGAGACCTGTATGTATTTGTGGGTACTTTGCATTATAAAACTCACCACTTTGTCCCTTCTAAATGTCATGCTACTCAACCTCAATAGTCGCATGTCACTAGGCGACAACCTGTGGGTCACGTGATAGGTATGCACGATGCCGTAGTGTGACTTAGTTTGTCCTCGTTTGTTGTTTGTTGCCTCTGCGACCAAAAACGGATACAACTACCTCTGTAGTTTGTTAACACAAACGTCATTGACCGGGATATATTCGGGCTGTGTAATCTAAAGGTTCCGTTGTCTAGTGATTCACTTGGTTCCCCAGTTTCCCACTGAGTTCTATCTTTTGTGCGTTTTCTACGGCCACACCCCTTTTCCATTACTTTTCTGTTGTCGAAACACCGACGACAGCTATGCTGTCAGTGAACGTCTTTTTCCGGATGTGTTGCTTGAAGGTGCAAACACCTCAGAATGACTGGCAAACTGTTGTTATACCTCCTTTTGTGTTATTTTCCCTTTCTACAACACAACTCTCTCCATATAAATCTCTCTTTGCTTAGCGGCCGGCTACTCGTTTTATGTTGCTTAGTGTTGTGCTTGGCTTCTGCTATGCCGATCATTTTTTGCAACCTCTGTCTCTATTTGTGGGTGTGTCTGTCGTGTTCTAATTAGTGATTTTTGTTTGAGAGGTTACCGTCTTTGCGCTTCACCAGTTTCACATTGTTGGAGTAATGTGTTCATTCCCGCAGTTATCATGAGAAGTCCTAAGCTCAAATTCCGTGTGACCCACAACTTAAAAATAAATGTGGATAGTCACCTTTCTATTCACTGCATTTTTGCATAAGCCTAATGTTTGGTTTGTTATTTACCCTGCAGTCAATTCTGAATCCCTTTTTTCACAACAGCGAACAGTAATGTTGACCTGGTGCCTTTGTCGGCCCGCAATGGAACTGCAGTGACGCGACCTATTGCAGCGAACACTGGAGGTTATGGTGACGTGAATGGTCACTCTTTGCTCAATTCCACTCTGCGCGCCCCAGCCATTAGTGCTGCATCAAACACTAATTGGAATCCTGGTCAACCGGCTCTCCAGTCTCTACGTAGCGGTCTTCTGGAAGATGACGATCTAGCCATGCTCCGATCGGCCAACGTATGTTTAGACGTTGTGTCAGGTTCTATTTTTCTGGCTCATCTCTGGTACCATTATCTGGACCGTGGTAGACTCGAGTGCAGCTGACCTAGGCTCCACGCCATCAGTGTCATCTAACTGACCTTTGAGGCCAAAGTTAGCTTTTTATGATTCTCGACAACTCATTATATTAACGTTCATGTTTTCCTGGTAATCGTGCGTGAGAAACTCAAGGAGAGTAGGTCAGCTCAGTGATTAGGAACTTTTCTTCAAATCTCCGATTTAAGACAAATGCTGTCTTTCATGTCCAATAAATTTGTGGATCTGGGCACCCCAGTTCGTCTTGGTTAGCTGGTGAATATGAAATTGCCGCCGTTAGCCGATTCTCCACAAACAGTATAAGCCTCTTGAGGGTATATAGTGTGCACGTGGCTACGGTTGACTCACTGTGACCACAACGTTCCAGTCCGTTATCCTCATCCCTGCTTAGACGATTTTCAATTGGACATGGTTCTGTAAAAAAATAGTTACAACGGACGCAAAACTAACTCCAGTTAGCAACAGTCATTCTCCTGCTTTCTTACTTCAGGACGGGGAGGTTACCGATGATCTGCTAACATTCCAGGAAGTCGTCACTCAGATCGAGCGAATGGAAGAGGAGGTTTGTGATGATCATAAGGCTCTATGTACGGTAAGTGTGTCTCCTCTTACCTGTCCGTAGTATTTTCGGTTTTCCTCCTGAAGTGCCGTGTGTTTCTGTCTTTTTAGTCACATGAAATGTAGCTTGTGCACATAATGTAATACGACAACAGGCGTGCCCACTATTGGTTAAGAAGAATTTGGAAATGCTCAATCAAACCAAGTGACTTCGTGGGTCCCTTTCGTACTGGTCGGTAGCCATCGTTCAAATTGACATCTTACCTCCCTCTGGAAGTTGTATTTTAATGCTCTCGATTTTCATGAGCCCTATTCTATTGTCTCAACTGTGATTTACTTCGGCAATTGTGTCGAGCGAGTGGAATGAACCTATTTGGGATTCATTACTGAATATACACGCATATCTTCATAAAGACCCCTTATATATATTATGTTTGACCTAAGTCAAAATAATGGCTATTTTCTCGCTGATCAAAGATTGCTTGCCTCAGTTAACACGTTCATGTTGTATCCACACTTCATACAGTCTATGACCGATTGGACCAAAGAACACTTTCGACTGTACAAAGAATCAAATCAAGTGGAATTCAACGTTGAAGGTAACTAGTCTTATGGACTTTTTTTATGCGGTTCGTCCTAGCTGTCCAGCGTACCGATATCCTGACTTCACTTCACTCTAAGACTCGTGTTTATTTCTAAGGTTTATTCGTATGGCAGAATGGTTCGTTCTCACTTGAGCTTATGCGTTTTCTGATTGGGAACGTCGTTTTTTTACACTTCACCATTACTGCCGGGAACAAAGTCCCCTGATTTGCATGTTAAATTGGGCCCACGCTCGCACCACTTGTGACAGATTTTGTCTGACTACTCGTTATCCTTGAACCGTGAATCCGGTTGCGTTATATATCCTTTTTAACTAGAGTATTTTCCATTACATATACGTGAAATCAATGGGAGTGGCAAATCCTACTATCGGGAAACGCTGTTTGGATTACACAAAAAATGTCTCATTACAAAGACCAAAAATAGCTGGTGTTGCTTCTTTATTCTTTAGTGCATATCTGTCTGTGCATGACTGTCTAAATGGCAACCCCACATGGAGATTTGAAATGGCGAATTTCATAGACTATGGATTAGTTGACGGCACCTTCCTGGACTATGGCCTATCGGCTTTGTCCATAAGTATGAGTGTGTAAGTACGTCTACACAGACGTAGTATATCGTATGAAAAAACCGTCACACTACATGAACAGAAAAGGCCAACCGCCTTGTATGTAGCTCCATCCAGGGTGAGGGAAAAAGAGCGAAATGGAAAAAGCATGAGCGTGTTTAGTAATCAGCCTGATACCAGCACTTTGTTTTCATGAGGAGAAACTCAAATCAAAATGACGGGTTGTCAGCTCGTTAGTAATCTGATGCCCCTATTCTCGCAGTCACAAACCACTACTATGTTGCGCGCTTATTTCGGTATCGAGGTAATTCCGTGGCTATAGTTCAACGCCACCATGAATGGAAAGACACCATAGAGGACAGATTCGAGTAGAAACAAAGGTAACAAGAAATCTTGTCGGACTACGCTGGAGACGCCAAATGCGGAATAATTCGCGGTGCGCCCAAAAAATGTTCGCGTGCAGCGTCTTCAGGATGTTGACATTATGACGGAATCCCATTCTTTATGGGGCAGTTGCACGAAGTAGTTCTGTTGGTGGTATCAAAACCACTTTGATATCGGGAAAGACCATAAGTTTGTATAGTGCAGCTCCAGCAATTGTCGTTTGATCACTACATTTCTCCGACTGGAACCTTGCTCGTTCTTTATGGACTGATTGAGACAGTAACTAGTGGGTTAATAGATGGCCTGGACATGTTTTCAAAATAGGTTGTTAATGCTGACGAGGTCGACTGACCTTATTCGGCGTTCAAGTGTACGTGCGATAATATGGCTTACAGGTTTTCAATAGCACGTGGTCGCACCGTAAATTTTTCACTTGAGCTCACTAATGGGTACGCTCTAAATGCCTACGTTCTTTCTGTCAGGCAACATGACTTCACCGGCTGGTCCAACTGTTAACGCCTATGTCGACCGATTTTGGTTTGCCACACTTGTTCTATGTGACGAAGTGGCCACTTTTTCCTATCCATTGGAAATTTTAATTGGTTAAAGTTATGTGGTAATAAGTGCAACGCGACGAAAAGAGCCACAGTCCTGTTTGCAGTCATTTCTATACGGTAGTCTATCAGTTAATTCAACCTTTAAACGTTTTTTCCTCACCTTCCTGTTTACCTTGTAACAGACTACAGTAATCGGTTGGAACGGCTCCTTACAGATCAGCTGAATGCCATCACTGCTCTCAAAGGTCGGTCATTATTAATGTCATGCATCACTTCTTCTCTCTTACTCTTCGCCAGCTACTGATGAACGGTCTTGGTTCGGTTGAGCAGATGACCTTAGTTATTTAGTGTAACGTGACAACAGTTCCCAAGTGTTATTGTCCGAATACTGTAATTGAGTGAGTG